TGGAGATCTTGACAGGAGAAGTTCTCTCGCCGACTATGTATACACACATGGAGGACGTCAAGGAAGGCATTTAGTTGAAGGGTTTCTTCAGTGATTTATACTATGAGAAAAAAGAGTTAACTCTATTGTACAATAGCCAAAGCACTATCTATTTGACCAAGGATCAAATGCTTCACAAATGCACAAAATATATCGATGTCTGTTACTACTTTGTGCATGATATATTCTTGAATGAGGATATATGTATTAAGAAGATCAATACTCTTGAGAACCCAGCTGACATGATGACAAAGCCACTACCATGAGATAAATTTGAACTCTGTCAACAATTGATCAGGCTTACTCGTGATTGATTCTTTCTTTCAAGTCATCCACTAAATCAATCAAGGGGGAGATATGTTTTGAATTAATTAATTTATGACCATTTCGGTGGACTGGAATGACAGAGCACACGTTATGGAGCCCAATACGGAAACCGTCTATCTCAAGGCGGTTTTTCCGGATTTTGAAGATGATCATGATGCCTATAAATGGAGTAGAAGCCATCTTTATTGTAACCCCATTTTTTCGTTGATCTTTCCTCCTTGTACTTTGAGTGATTCCTTTTTTAATTCCTCCGTTGTTGAGGCCTTGTTATCTCTCTTGGAACAGTTTTTTTTTGGTGATTTGCTCTTGGACTTTGTTGTGTTTTATCGTCATATGAACTCTGTTTCACATTGAGATTATCTTTTTATCTTGAAGATGGATACATGGATACATGAAGCTGTGTAGGTCTCTACAACATCAGAGCGGCTGCGATTGTTGTCAACACAAAGGTGGCAGTGATGGCCGCCGTTCCGACGGTTGCAGAAGGCGCTGCCCCGGGAACTCCGGGTGCCGAACCAGAAGGTCCGGGAGTGGAGGACGTTGGAGGGCTAGCAACAGTTGTGGGAGGTGTTGGTGCTCCGGAGGAGGTCGGGGATGGCGGGGTGGCCGAAGGGGTGGAGGCCGCCGCTACTGTGAGAGTCATCTTCTGGCCTGCACCACAGTGACCATTGACGCCGCAGATGAAGTATCGGGTGCCCGCTGCAGTGAGTTCCACGGTGGCCGGGCCGGTGGTGTACGTGGCGATGGGGTTGGACGTAGTGCAGTCGTCGTAGTTCGCCCTCGTCACCTCGAGCACGTCGTGGGCACCGTTGTTGAAGTTGAAAACTGCAGAGAGGCAGGATCAGGGAGTTTGATTAGAGTGCTCTGGGGCGCACTATTAGAGATTGAGATGATGCTAAGAAGCTGAAAGGAATGAAGGAACGGAGAGACTGAAGATGCTGCCTACCGAGAGAATCGCCGACAGCGAATGTCTGCCTGCTGGCCCAGTCGGTGTAGTAGCTGGGACTGGATGGGATGCTCCATATCTGGTTGTCCCCTACCTCGAATGTGGCCGCGAGCGCGCCCGTGGCGGCGTAAACCACGACGAGGATGAAGAAGGGAAGTGCAGAGGACGAAGATGAGGCCATGCTTGTTGGTCGCGGTTGTCTGAGAAGAAACACTTCTTCGTGTGTTCTGCAGGTCGCCCTTGCCCACAGCCCTCGCAGCCCCCTCCTTCCCCTGAGTCCACACAGACACAGGATCGCGCAAAGCGGAGAGAAGAAGGGTAGATGGGAGTTCGTGAGGGGGGGATGAGGAATATATGCGTGTGCGGGGCTGCTTTTATAGTGGGAGCCAACGGCAGAGGGAGGCATTCGGAGAAAAATAATAGATCGATCGATTGAGGAGGGCTGACCGAGGAGGAGAGGGGGAACAGAAACATCGTTGACCGGGAATAGGATGCTTCTTCGATGCCATGTTCTTCTAGAACCGCCGGATTTGGGGAAGTTTTCTTACGTTTTCCTATACAGATCGGGTCAAATCTAAAATATACGCGCGGGAGACGCGTGATGGAGTCCTCCTACGTCGCGCGTAACAAACACTCCAGGGCTGACCAGTTCCAATATCCGCCCGGTAAAAGCGACCGGACTCTATCTCCATCGTCTCTCACTTCTTCTGTTCTCCCCACTTCTCGTGCATGTGGATTACCAGCTGCCTTCTGCGAGAAAACGCGGGAGGGAGTTGGTGAAGTGAGTGGACAAAGACGATGACTGCTGACCTCGTGGCCCTGACCTCCGCCGGATCGACGGCGTTGAAGCGCGGCCCGTCTGCTTCTCAAAGCGCCGGAGAGGGCTCCTCTTGAAGGCGGAGGGTTTCGCCACGGCCCACCCAGGCTGGCGGGTGGCCGTGCTCGCCTTCTCCGAGTGCGGGCTGAAGTACGTCGCTTCCTACGGCGGAGGGGAAGGGCCCCCCGCCGTCATCAACTGGGTCTCGGGGAAGGCCGCGGACCGAACCGGGGCTTGCGGGCCGGAGGCTTCGTTGCCTCTGCCGCCGGTCATCAGGCTCTATTCCACTTCCCCGACCGTCTTTCTCCCCTTCTCCGTCGTCTCCACGCGCGGCGATCGCTGGCGGGAAGACTTCGGATCTCCCAGGCGCCACTGCCGATCGTGCGGAGCCGGACTTCTTCTCCGTATTTCAGGAGCGCGAAGCGCTGAACGAGAGAATGTCCGGGTAGCATCTTCGCCTCCTCCGCGCAGCAGCAGGCGTCGCTGTGTTGTCCGCCTCGCTTTGATCTTTCCTCTCCTTCCGCCGACAGCGCCGGTGCCCAGAGCGGCGTGACCGCCGAGTCGCCGTTTCTTGGGGACATGGAGGAAGATCCGGCCGGCGCCCCACTCCTCTGATTGCATGGAATGGAAAATGAACTCTCTGATTCAGCTCCTCTCGAGCTCCTCTGTTGTGCAAACTCTCACACAGTGGTGGTACAAATTCGAGCCTTCATGTCTGCAGCAGCCAAGTATCCTGCCCGTCGACCATCCAACCACCGAAATGTACCTCCATGAGTGACAAAAACGCCTGTGTTTGACCCATCGACGCTACACACACTCTGTTCTCAGCCAACGCCGGCAGATGGACTCGTCTACAAATCTTGTATTACAATTCCATTCTATTTTATTTTTTTCTAAATTATGGGCAGATGGTTTTAGTCAGGACGTGAGTTTTTGCTTTTGCCTTGAAATGATTTCTCAATTAGTGCAAATTTATAGCCTTAAATATGTAGTAGTCAAAATCATACACGCGGGGGATGTTTGCATCCACAAGTAGTGAGTTTGTATAAAACCTTATTACTTCCAAGAACTCCGCAAAAACTCGAAACCTAACTGAAACACAACCCGCCAATAATAACTGATTTCTTGAAGCAATCTGCTGTATCATGTACAGGTAAGTTGAGCACTTCAAAAGAAAAAAGTTATCATCTACTCAACATATTAAAGAGGAAGGTAGTCTCTAAGATTTGCAGTTACAAAAGACGTGTGAGCCCACTGACCAATTGGAACCAAATCAAGGCAGATGAAGAATCACACTAATCAAATTGGTAACATTATACATGTAGCTTTGTAACTGCACCAAGTGGTGGTGTAGTGGGCATAAACTTGAAGTTCATTTATATTTAAGTTTAACAACACCTTGAGTTATTTTAGTGGGCCAGAGCTAGTAAGGCTAGTCAACGCCTGACAATGTCGTTGGTGCTATTTGGTGGGCATGCTTTACATCTGCAGTTATGCAGCAATTATGCAGCAATTATGCAGCAGTAAGATATTTGGAAATAGGTAGCAAAAGATCTACAAAGGTTGCATGGATCTAATATTCAAATCCCAGCCAACTACTCATATTTAAATGTCGTCAATCTCTAGAGAATCAACTTGTTATAAAGATCGAATTGATACTTATGAAAGCTGGCTAGTAATAAGTTAGAGAAAAACCCAGTGAAATATCTAAATGGAGTCTTGGAGATTGAGGTAGCTCTGCGACTCACCATTATAGTGTCTTTGATGTTTATTTCTGAAAAATGAAATATTTCTGAACAAATTTTTTATGTTATGTTAAGTCTAGGCCTCTCGAGCCCAAATGAATGAACGAAATGAAATGAGATGTAGGACGGGTGTAACGTTGAAACGCCAATGGAATGAGACACGAATAAGACTAAAATCATAATTCCACTGTACGCTTGTGCACAACTGGAAGTTGATGGGCAACTGACAAGATAAGACGCAGACTCTACAAGGTACAGAGCTCACCAATGGTTTGGTTTGATAAGGAAATTAAGTAAGCTAGTTAGTAGTATGACGGAAGCTAGTAAGATAGTAAGCTAGTAATTATTTATGTTTATTAGGTTTGCTGTCATATCAAGGTTTCATATATACTACAATGACGGAAAATCAGAATTACAATTTTTTTCAGCAGGCCCTCTTTTCTTCCTTGTTAGGTCCCTCTCGCACGTAAATGAATCCGAGGACAAGGTGCAATCATACGATTATGGCCACTAGGAATGAACGTTTTCATCCATGAAGTCGGTTGCTTCAGATCAGTAGAAAGTAGCCGAGAATAGCCATCAATGATATAAAAGTTGGGTTTTTCAGCTGACCGCTTATATCCATATGGTAAGTCATGAAACCCCATCGTCTTCATCAGGAAGGTTACAGACGGCTGACCAAATTTTCCTTTTATTTCTCTTTTCCATTTCTTCTCAGTTTGTATTCTCCGTGCCCCTCTCACAGTCAGTCTCTCTTGCCTCTGATCTTAGAATCCGGGCGAGAGGGAGAAGACCTGGAGAAACCCACCAGGTTTCTTCGTGATTTTCGAGGGCAGCTGGCATGGCAGAGATCGCCAATTTTGGTGCAACCTAAGGCTCTCTTTTTCCTCTCGTCGCTCCATTGACGTTCCTCGTCAATCCGCCACCCTCCTTGCAGCGGAATATCGACCCTCTCCTCCCATCCTCCCTCCCTCTCCCTCTCCCTCTCTCTCTCTCTCTCTCTCTCTCTCTCTCTCCACGCCGTCTCCTCGCTCGCATATGTCGTCCTTGGCTTCCGCTCTCCCCCTATCTCTTTCAAGCTCACACGAGGAGAGAAGAAGAAGAAGAAGAAGAAGAAGGCGAAGGTTCAATTTTCCAGGTAAGGTGAAGAAGACGAGGACTTGTAAAGATCGTAGGGTGCCCACAGGTGGTCAACGGCACACGGCTTCCTGGAGTCCAGCCTAAGCCAGGGCTTCCCCTTGCCACTCCAGTGCAGGAGGCTGACGGGGCCCGGGTGCAGATCCCGGCACCTCCCCTCCACGTTGTCCCCTCCCAGGCCGTGCTGGTTCCACCTGTGGTCAACGGCCTCGATCTCCCCGGCCAGCACCAGCAGGAAAGGCGGCAACGACCCCAGCTGGTATATCCTCTTCCTCTTCTGCACCGCCATCCAGTTCTCCACCATCCTCGTGTACCCCCCTCTGCGCCACCTCTCCACGTCCATCACCATCACCCCCGTGTTGAAGTAGCAGGGCCGCCTCCCCTTGAAGGTCTTGGCCAGGGCCGGGTCCCCCCAGAAGGCCTCCGTGAAGTACTCCGTGAAGTTGGCGTGGCAATACTCCGGCGCCGCCACCACCCTCCCCCGCAGGTCCACGCCCCACAGGGCCCTGATATCGTCCACCACCACCACGTCCGAGTCGAGGTAGATAACTCGCCGCACTGCCCGCGGCAACGCGTCGACGAGGTAGATGCGCGCGTAGTTGAGCGGCTGGTCGAGGGCGAGGCGGATGGAGCGAGAGATGCGGCCGCGAACTCGGCCCGAGTCGAAGCGGTGGACGTGGAAGATGAGGTAGGGGAAGGCGGCGCGGAGCGCGGCGGCAGAGGGTTCGCCGTCGGCGCCGGCGGCGAGGAAGTGGAAGGCGATGTTGGCGGGGCAGGAGGTGTGCTGCAGCACGGAGAGGACGACGGCCATCGTACCGCGCAGGTAGTTCGAGTCGAGGGTCATCGCGATGTGGACGGCATCGCCGGCGGTGCAGTCCTCGGCGTTACGGAAGGCCGGGGCCTCCCGGAAAGCGGGAGGGGGGAGCCGCAGGGACGCAGAGGCCGTGGGTAGGACGAAGAAGAAAAAGAGGATGAGGAAGACGAAGGAGATGATGAAGAGAGAAGATGGGTTGGTCGTGGAGGTCGGAGACACCGCCATGATGGCGCCTCCGCCGCCGCCGAGTTCTCTTAGGGAGATCTCAGGAGGCCGGACGGTTGACGGAGGCCATCGAAGGCAGGTCGGAGGAAGAGACGGCTCGCGAGAAAGAGCGAGAGAGAGAGAGAGAGACGGGGGAGGGAGGGAGGGAGGGAGGGAGGGAGGGAGGGAGGGAGAGCCGATGGGAATGTGAGGGAGGGAAGAAACGTCGGAGGCTGGATTGAAGAGCTGCGGTGAATTTTGTTCCTGGCCTCACAATCCCACCGGAACTTCTTCTCTCTGCTATTTTAGACTCGTGAGGATTCACCAGGGTCCGTCGTCTTGGCCCTCCGCCGTCGCCGGCTACCTTCGTCTAGAAAAAGTGTTCTTCCTTGCACTTCTATTTTCTGCAACTGATCCTCACCATTTCTAGCTGGACCTTCTCTCTAATTTCGCAGCTGGCAAGGCAAATTTCGGACAAGAGGACCTCTCGAAGAATCTTAATTTCTTTTGCCGCTGATCAAGATATCCCGTCTTTAAAGTCAGCCCTACTAAAGGCTTCTCTGTCAACCATTCTCTCTGCCATTATCATCCCCCATCTAAACATATTATAAGATTTAACTGTTAATCAAAATATTTCTTTAAACTTCACTTCTATATTTTCAACAATTAAATGCATGAAAAATCGCAATATGCTTCAAAAATATCTACAAGGTAACTAAGATTGGCCTACGCGTGTGCACAGCAGAGAATGGACTCTGATTATGGGTTGAGAGAGAAGTGATGCGCTTAGAGAGAGAAAGAGAGAGAGTGCTAAGGTGAAAAGTTTGGAAAGGAGAGAAAATTGCCAGCTTTCAACATAATCAGACACCTCAAAACGCAGCCCAACTCTTAAATGAGAGAGAGAGAGAGAGAGAGAGAGAGCCTCCTCACCTCCTGAGCATCAGGCCCTAAGCCTGTTTCTCTCCCTTCTGGCAAGGCCCTGGCAGGTTCAAAGAAAGAGGCAGATGGACCGATCCTAAGCAAAGGCTGCTTCAGCCAGGACTCTACAAGATCATCTGATTCCGAGTCGTTTCATTATCAATCACTCCCGAGACAGCAACTCCTAGGCCAAGTTGGGAGGATCGGAATTCTTGCCCAAAACAGAAAACAAGGCTTGTTCTCTGCAACCCACGAGAACATATCGTCAAAGCAGCATGCATGAAAGAGATCCAACATCAGCTGTTCCACACAACGCCCCGCACCTCTTTGCCCTTGTTACAACAAGAACCCCACCACTGGTGAGCTAAAAATACACCGATCGCAAAAATCCAAGCTCAAACGATGAAGAGAAACCCATCCGCTCACTCCTCTAGATCATATTTCGGTTTCTTAAAAAAAAATCTACAGGAGAGGCGAGCTCGCATGGCTCTCCCAACAGTGAGGCTCGGCGAGATGAGCCCCTCTCGAGCTTCCCACCGTTGATTCAGCCATCATTCTTAGTCCTATCCTTGAACAAACGGGGAAGAACTTCGTGGGCACTCGCATCCAATGGTTCAGGATCCCTGAAACAGGAGATTTTTTTTTCTTTTTAGTCATACAGATGATCTTGGAAGAGTCTCGACCCACGTAAGATAAAACGGAAGTAATGATGAGGGACAATTTAATTAATCAAGTCAAGTGCAGGTTCATGGAAACCGAGTTTTTCACGACAATATGGAAACAAGAGTGGGAAAAGAAGATGGCGCAGGCACAGGAATGTGGATCAGGTTTTTCCACCATTACCAGTGTAGATAGCTCAATGTGTCAATCAATGCAGCAATTAGGGATGTAAACAGACGTAAGGATAAGTAGTTACTTGCACAATATCAGGCCCTTCTCAGTTGAACTTGGGATGAACCACAGCTTCCGCAGGACGGGGGACTCAAACTGCACAAAGAAGCCATCAGAATGCCCGTGCTTCCACTTCCTCGATCCTTGTCCTTTCCACACCTACATGGCATTTGACCCAAAGCCCATCATGGTCAAGAACTCACCGCACAGAAGTATGTGTTTGACTTCCGGGTGCTTCCACCCCAGAGAACTTGAAAAATAGAAAGCCTGTGTTTGACTGTCGCACAACAACGAGGAGTATAGAATGAACGAGGTTGAAGAAGGAACTCATCATAGGAGAGAATTAATAGAGCGTCAAAGAAGGCCATTGACGATGATTTCTGACATAAATGTATGTAGCCTAAAACTGGAAAGAAACGGATGATATGAATATGGATCCAAGCCAAGTGGAGGATAGAACTCAAGATTGTACCTGCGGATAGGATATGATGCTTTTGGGAACAACTATGCATGCGGCCCGAGAAAAAGAGTCATCTGCATACTGCCGTAAGAAGGAGAAACAGCTGCCATGTGTATGAGGGGATTCAAATGCCTGGCAACAGGAAAAAATTGATAGAAGAAGTGAGAAAATAAACGAGCACAAAGTCAAAGTCGCATTGACTAGTTTTAGAAAACACATGCACTTTGGGCAATGCAGAAAAAAAAAAAGATCACACAACATCTTGCCAGGTCTCGTTTCAACCCATGAAAACCCACCCAATCAGCAAAATATTGGTCCCAAACTGAGCAAAACCTCAAAGCCAAAGCCACACAGCCCCAAGTCAGTTCCAAAGATTTGGTTTAGCCCTTTCTGTCCTGCAATTGCTCGTTGACATAAATCACTCAGTACATTCATGAGGATGCCCCAGATCGCCATGTGCCTGAAATAAATGGGGCACATCAAGTAACCTCGTGAACTTTATAAATGCTTGATGCCGGTCTACTCAGAGGAATATGATTCTTGGCAAAGATTCCCAGTCACCAACCAAGAAGAAATCATACAACCCCTGTGGGGCTAATTTCTTTCACTCCTTTGTGTGAAACCAATCTACTCAGACAAAGCTACTGATCCTTTTCACCTAATAAGATTGCAGTGCCGCCAAATTCTCATCGAAGGATCATACTTTTTTTTAAGAGTTGACAGAATATCACTACAACATTAAGTATTAAAAACTCTCCCGTTTTAGATAACATGTAATATTTGAGATAAAGGTCATGATCCGATATCTAGTTCTTTATCGGCTCTCTTGTATTGTTATGATCTGAAGTTTTTATACTTGATAAAATAGTTAGCTTTCAGATAGAAATCCCAAAACAAAGAAAGAAGATATACGCCAGAATCAATTTATTTCTTTCCTAACCTTCCAAGAAGAACAGTAGGTTACAGCTAACTAAATATAAGCGAAATTCAGATGCAAATCTAAACAACCAAGAAGAGATGCTCAGGCATCCACACATCTTTTCTTCTCTCTTTTCCTGCAGAAGATGTAGATGTTGTTCGGCCAATTCACACGAAGTACGGGCAGAGAAAATTCACACCAAAAAGTGATATGAGTGCAAAGATGAGTGTGCGCCAGGTGATGAAATTCGTTGAGAAGATGGGTGAACTGGGAAAAATGAAGCTGAAGTAACTTCAAAGATACCACGATTAACCATTAGGAAAACATGTTTCAACCAGATGAGCTGAAACAAGGGCTTACTCTTAATTTATTTCCTGTCAAATGCACAAACAAGACTTCGTACTAATACTAAGGAATCCACTGCCCAGGCAACAAACTGTGAGCTATGTGCTATGAACATCTCAATATGTAGAGCTGATATGGCAACTAAATTCAGTCAAATATGCTCTATTAGAGCAACAAAAATTGGAGCATCAAAATAATGGTAATATCACAAATGGCTTGAATCCCCTTCTGACATCTGAATGAAGAGCCAATCGAACCAATCTTACATCAACCAGATCGGTGTATTACCTTGTCAATATTGACCACAGGTGCATATTTGTCAGTCTGTGTCTTCTCTTTGTCAAGAAGGAAATGGCCCCTAGGGTCGACTTTCGCAGAGTTCTGCCAACCTTTTATTGCTGCTTCCATTGTATCTACAACAAAAGAAAATATCTCTTGTGCTTCTTCTGCTGTACCGATCTTCTCGCACTACAAATGGAAAATGAAATTAAGTTTTGATGGAGGACAATCAATTCATGAGAACAGTAATGACTATCTCATTCCAATTCAAACGAAAACTCTCATTATGCGGTTTAAAAAAAAAGACAGAAGAAATGCCATATAGGAAACTGTAGCCTTCTCAAAAGAGGGTGCTCATAATTAGGATTTTTGGACACTGAGAGCAACATTTGAACTCAGACAATGCAGCTTGCTCAGTAAAAATGGCAAATTACTGGTCATTTCAGAAAAATGGCACATCAAAGAAAAGCCAAATTAAACCTCCCTGGGAAGCTCCCTTTGAGAAACTGTTACGGCTTAGCAGGAGGGATTGAGAACATCGTAGAACGACCCTACCCAGCTAGCATTTTCTGTGATGAGAAACGAGCAGGAAGCATCAATAGGCATGCCATTGTTTCCAACACCTACTATGAACACAGTATAAAATTATCGATATTATGTCACTTCAGGGGACTTCTTTGCAGCTCCTCTAAACAACATGATTACAGAACTATTTGTTGAACTTATCTGAAATGGACATTAACCTGGCAACCAACATCAAATAAAAGTCAAGGAATAACATTCAGAGTTTTTTTGTATTTTTTACTTTGTTCAATGCCTTCGAAATATATAATTGGCTCTACAAACGGAGTCACTCCATGCAAGATTAAAAAGTTCCACCCATTTCCTTTGGATAGCACTTTTCAATGCAAGCAACATCAAAATCCAAGTTTTCCTCAACTAGAACTCTCTAAGAGCTTGTTTTGCACAAACCAAATAGTACAAGCCAGTGACGTACATAAGTTAATAGATGCTTGAGCAAGAAACTTCGTCACCAACTACAACGCTATAAGGGAATATGGATGAATATGATTCACTTACTAGTTCATTTTTAAAGGGATCAAGATATTTCCTCATGTCAATATTGGATCTGATGCTCTCTAATTCCTGAGTTCGAGTATGTTCTTTGGCCACTTGCATGAGCCTCTTAATTTTCCTTGACACCTCTGTGCTCTGTGGATTGTGTTGCAAAGCGATTTGCAGGGCAGCTACAGCCTGGATCATGAAAACAACGAAAAGGTGAAATGAAAAAAACTTAGCATCAAATCAAAATTAAGAAGAAGGTATATGTGAGCTTTATATTGAACAGAGTAGTTAGCTTTTTTGTTGTCAGGAAATCAAAAGATTGAGCAAATTAAACCTAGTTGAGAACTAAAGAATAAAGTCTTCTCACCACAAATCGTCAGAGAAACTATAGGGGAACTTACAAACTCAAATAGGTAGTGAAGACCGTTAAACCCAAATGAATCGTATAAACAGGACTCAGAGCAGAATGACAATCTTAAATTGACTCTGATTCTAAGATATTAAGTGGCCATCGAATTTACTATTTTACAAATGCAGACACACATAAGCTCAATGGATTTTTTTAATTCGCAAAAAGAAGAAAGATGCTTCTTAAACTGATTTCTGAGCAAAAGATGCACATCCATCACGCACTCAACTGTCGGTCACAACATATGCTGTCTCGAAAAACCCAATTCAAACCATAGATCCTATGAGAGGCAATACAGAAATTGAATACAACAGTGATGGGTGTTCTAACCCCAAAAAATAAATGGCTCACTTATGTCCCCGGCTAGAGAAGTTAATTTGATGGTCAGGACTTGATAACTCTGGTCCAAACAGAACGGGTAATGTAAAATCCAGTCATATATAAAGCCCCTAAACAGCAACTGCATGGGACCTAATCAAATATTTATCTGAATAAAGATATACGTAGATATGTGCGAGCAAGAATCTTATAAATGCTCACTGTATAGACCATTACTTAAACATCGTGACTATCTTTTTGAGCTAATGGAAGTAAAACAACTCCCAACTTCTATCACAGGTAATTTCAACTCCCTACCGTCAGTAAATTTATGATCATGATTAGGGAAAGTAATTTTTTTCAGGAGATATAATCGTTTTTTTAAAAAAAATTATGTAAATGAAGATGCATAAATACTTTGCATTAAAGCATAAATGTCTACATAAGAACAGGTATCAAACTACTCTTAAAATAACTGTTAAACCGAAAATGTCTAACATAGAAAATAAATTACAACTATAAATGAATCAATCTCAGATGCTTAACTAAATCAAACTCGGCATCAGGGTGAACCCAGCTACAGAAAAGCCAAATGACTACTCCTGGGAAAGACAATTCCTCTTTGGTTCAGTGTTCAGCTTTGAAAGCCAAAGTCATATCCCAACCATAACAACTTATAGTCATAAAAGTTCATTGTACGATTTTTGTTCTTTGCATAGACGGAAATGTTGGATGGAATTCTTAAGTAAGAAATAACAGATGACTCAACTAATTAAAATAAAGAACAAGAAAAAAGAAGCTACATCATCATAGCGGCCCATTGCCTCCAGCACACATCCTTTCCTGAAATAACCCTACAAAGACATAGACAAGCCCACATAATTATACTTATTTTTTAAGAATAAACACCTCGTAAATGGCAAAAAGTTCATTTAAAAGGCAACCAAAAATAAAATATCTGATGTACCTTCTCCCACTGTGGTTTTAAAGTAATTGTAGTTTCAGCATCTGCAAGGGCTTTACTGAGCTTAACCAAATGCAGAAATGCCGCAGAGCGATTGCTATAAATATTATGAAGGAAAGAGATGCATCATCAATCACATAGTAACAGTCAGAACTCAAAAGTTACAATTTCCAGGTTCATGGAGACTCAGAACCACCCACGAGCTACAGTGAGACATCAGGTGCATGCCAAGGGTAATATCTATTTTGTTTCACTTTTATTCAGAACAACTGAAAATGGAGATCCAGTAAGACGGAAACAAGAGTCAAATTAAAAAATCGGTCGAGCCTGGATGCTCTAGTAAAAGTTTCTTCAACAATAGATACATACGAAAGCATTTATTGACTTTAATAATTGCTCTTTTCTCTGAACGTAAAATAAACTTATAGAAAAAGTATGTTGAACACATGCTTCCTGGTAAAATCATGCATGCATAGAACGTCTAGGCACCCCCAAGATGATCACAATATATCCATCACCCACTATCATATTGTCAGGTATGCTTCTATCCAATTTGATGCTCCAGTTTGATGCTAGTCTTACACTAGCATAACCTTTAGTTGGTCCACACAAAAGCTCCAGAAGAAAGAGGAAACAATGGAGGAGCAACAGCAAAAGAAAGTAAAGATAAGAAAACAAAAGCCTCCATAAAGTAGAAAGAAACAGAAACCATACTGACAAATTATTTCATTATTATCCACTAACTGAGCGCTGAAATAATGTTGCTAGAAATTATGGAACCAGAAATTGTCTGTTCCTATAAAGTTGCTAGAGTTCATGGGAAAACAACTGGTCTTAAAGTCAACTGTCAAAAGTTGGAAGAGGCATTATGGATTTTGACCCAAGGGTGGATTGACCCACCAAATCTAAAGGGGGTTTCGTCCAATAGAAGGAACATGATTCACCCACCAAATGTTACGGGCTTTCTGACAAATGGGGGGATACACCCTTTCAGAAAAAAAACTACTTACACTTGCTGGGTTGGGTGGATCCACCTTGCAGACATACAAAGCCCATTTGGCTACAAGCTTCTGCTGAAAATAACTAAATGACGAGCTCCCCAAAAATTTATGTCACCTTTGGCTCACTAAACTAAATGGGTTATATCTCATTTCCATGAGGACTTTCAGTAGTTTCCTCTTTAGAAATAATTCAAAAGGTTTCTTTTTGCCTCGTTCCCTATCAAAAACTCAATTAATGTGCTGTGGGTAAGTCCAACCTTGTGCAGTCCAGGGTACGGCAGTGAGATTACTCGTAGTTGGGGAATAAAGACAACTATTGAAAGTGCTTACCCCCCCCCCCCCCCCCCCACTATTTGACTGAGGTAAAGTATCAGAAATTTTCACGTTCCAGTCCTTTATCAAGAAAGCGTAGAGTTTACTTCTAGCTGTGAGCATGATGAATCCAAAAGGCGGAGACATTAGTCTACAGTCGTAGGTTGTGAACTAGCGAGCAATCAGATTCAGTGTCTTTTCAAAATCGCATTCCGGTTTCTCTTTCCGCAATCGCAAATTCTTGTCTACTGAGCTTTGAGAATCATATGTAGTCTCATACTCGTTACTTCACCCCCGTGAGCATAGATTAATCCGATGGATGGAGCTCCATGATTTCGATCATCACCCCGTTCTGTCCCACAAGAAGCTATACCGCCGGTCACTTCAAGAGACCTCGGAAGAAGAACGCTGGAGGAGTCTTTGCAGAGTTATCCGAATACACGATTAGGTGGAAATTAAGGCAGGCAAGAAAAGCAAGACTATTGCTCAACCTTAGAGGCATACCCTTCTGAAGAGAAACCCAACACTTCAAGGAAATAGAATAAGGGAAACAAGGCATATGAAATGAATACCCGTCAAACAGAAGATAACGAGGAAGACAGCTTACCTGTAGAGGGCAGCGTTAGAGGGTTCCGACTTGATGGCCTGTGTGTACAAGGCTGCGGCTTTGAGATAATTCTCCGCTTTGAAGAACTCATTGCCCTGGTCCTTCAGTGATGGCTTCTCTCCATCTCCTCCCTCTGCCCCTAACACTGGCGGCGGAGGCCCGGTGGTCGCCTCTGCAGCCATTATCCCCCTCCCTTTCGTACAATGGCCGAGGCTTCTCCGCAGGGGAGCCTACTGGAGCCTCCTGGGATATAGGGATCAAGGGTTTTTCCTCGACGATCCCTCGGCCCGTGGGGAAGGAAGGGGGGGCTCGAGGAGGGAGAGTGGAGGAACGTGAGACAAAATCCAGAGGTGCCGTCAACTCTGCCAATAACTAAAATTCGAATTTTTAAATGGGTTTTCTAGAATCGTTCCCAAACGAGGGTTTCCTTGCGTGGCATCGGAAGTTCATTCCTAAAATATGATTTGCCCATTTTTATTCATTTCTAATGATTCGATCCATAAACGATGGACTTTATTTAATATCTGTTAAAACCTATAGAAGATCAGTAATTTATTTAATGAATGCATAGACACCCAAACATTACAAGATAAAACCCCAAAAAAGTACCCTGCGGCTATTTGTCATTTTTCAGCCAAAATTTTTATTTCATAAAAAATTGATAATATAAAATTTAAGCGAGTAAATCATTTAAGGAAGAATAAGTATAAACCAGGGCTGCTCCAATCTGTATTTATTTTAATGTGTTCTTGGTCATATTTACTGTAAATTGACTGATTTTAGTTTGAAAATAATTATTTTAATCCCCTAAAGATGACGCGCTCCTCCCTCAATAGGGATCGGTGAAAAACCAGAGGATTAACATCTACAAGTAAATACGTGATTTTCCAATGTTACTGGAACCATTCGCCCTAATTTTGCTGCATATATATATATATATATATATATATATATAGATATTGTGCACAAGCAGAAACTCTTTCGTGAGGTTTTTTCTCCCATTATTGCATTCTGGAAGAGGCAATAATAACCTTGCGGTGATTTATCGATCAAAGTCACCTCACATGGTAGATCTTCCTCCTGGCCCTCTCTAAGCCCAGATTTGAATCATCCTCGTTCATCAAAGTCTGCAATAATTTACTCCTTTTGACAAAGAAACAGCCTTGTTTAGGTGTAAATATCATTGTAGCTCTAGAGAATTTGAACAGCCGACAAAAGCCCCTTCATACTTCCAACGGGCAAAGCGCACTTCAACTGGGCGATGAAGATCATCTGATATGGCAAGTTTTGAATGATGAATGAAGCCCATTCCAGAAACTACTTCCTTCTCATCACTGTCTCCCTTCTCTCTGTTCATGAAAGGGTGACTCTGACTTTTGAACCTGGAAGCATGGACAGTGAGTAGTTCTAGGAAAAGCCCAGCCATGCCCTGAAAGTCAAAGCCGCTTCCCTCCTCTTGCACTGCGCTTCTGTCTGGATCTTGGGGGCCTTGCCCTTGTAAAGCGTCCGGTGGTACTTGAGCCAGAGTGTGCGGTACTTGTACTTGTCAATGAACATGCTCTCTCTCTCCATCATCCCCACCACTTCGTTGGCTCGAAGGAAGAACCCGCCCCTCACAAAGCAATACAGCAGGGAGTCGAGGAGCTCCTGGTCAAAGTCAACTGGGGTTGACCCACTGAGCGCCTTCATCTCCCCCCACAAGTCGGTGATCTCCACGTACTTTCCCCCGATCGCCGCGTACCCAGTGACCAAAGAATGGAAAGTCTGGGCATTTGGGGTGTGCCCCAAGGCCCTCATCTTCCTCATGGCCTTGTGAGCATCCTGCATCAGCCTCTTCTTGCAGAAGAAGTGTATCACGTTGTTCCAGTCATGAACCCCACACTCCACCCGGTCATCTTCCCTAATCTCCATCAAGAGCCTGGACATCAAGCTCGGTTTCCCATTCCCTGCACAGCCTTCCAGCAGCTGCTCAAAGTCCTCCTGGCCGGATCGCAACAGGCTAGACTCCTTCATCTCTCTGAACAGGTGAAGAGCACCTGCGATGTTCTTCTGATGAACCCGTGCCTGAATCAGGGACTCATAGCAGCTTGAATCCAGTTGGACACCAGCCTTCTGAGCGTCTTTCAACAGGGCGGTGATCTCCCCCATCCGACCTTCTCGGCAGTATGCTTTCAAGAGGGAGGAATACACAGAAGAACTAACTCTGACCCCATGGAACCTCAGTTCATCGAGTAGATCGTGCGCTGGTTCTAAGAGCCCCATGGTAATACAAGCATCCACAACTTGGACGACCACAGAGTTTTCACGAGAGACTGGAGACTCTTCATTGTTTACCTTGATCAAAAACGCTGCCAGATCATCAATCTTGCCGGCCTCCAAGAAAGCTCTGACCAATTTAGCATATATTTTCTCAGATGGATGGAGAATGCCGCACTCCACTTTGACCAGCTCAGCTTGAGCCTGAAGCTTATCTGATAAGTGGCGAAGTAGGGCCTTTACCTCGGCATCAAGCCTCAAGAATTTCCTATCTCGTGTGAAATCTGTAAAAGACGGAGGCCGGGCTTTAATCAAGCTGAGTTCTTCAGAGGCGACAAGTTCCTCTGCACCAGAGTCGTCTTCCATTGAGAGAGAGGGCTTCCTGCCCTCTTGAACAACTTCCAGAACCGATCTCGCAGCAGCAAGAGAACTCTTGGCCTTCTTTGCTCTCCGAAGCATGTCCAAGACCAGATCACACGCTGAAGTCAACTCCCGCAGCTTGAGATGGCAAGAGAGCAGGGAATTGTAGAACTGCTGAAACTGTGAATCTTTCAGGTCACCACAGGCATCATCGATATGCCGCCTAAGTTTCTTCATCTCATCAATCCGCCCGTTCCTCTCAAACACATGAGCCATGACAATCAGCAAGTCGGGGTCAGCCCTGATGCCCACCCGTGGCATCAGCTCGAGCAGCTGCTCGGCTTTCTTCGTAGTTCCAAACACAAGGCACCCGGTCAGAGCAAGGTTGAAGGCCACTGGATCGGGTCTCATCAGCAGCAGCGGCTTGTTAGATTTCTTCCGAGGATCCACTCTGTTGTCCTTGAAGATATAGCCAATCTCGCTGACCAGCTCTGCTGCAAGAAAGGCACCAGCAGCCGTCTGTGAGATGTGCGCAACGACACAAGTCCACACTGCTGCAGGTGGGAATTCCCCAACTTCGACTAGTTTCCTCAACAGGGTCGATGCAGGAACAGCCAATTCGCATTTCGCAAGAACATAGGAGAGATAAATCAGAGCTTGCTTGCCCAGCAATTCGTGCTTCTTCTCTTCAAAGAGTTGCTCAGCCAAGCCGGAAGCTTTACACAGCCATTGCCGATCGCAGCTCTCCGCAAGACCGCATACAAGCTTGCTCAGCACCGATTGTCTCGGAAAGCCATCCATATGTACGTGTTGTTCGTACAGTCTCCATGCGCCATCGAGTCTTCGTTCATCAACGGCGTTCTTAATCTCCAAGGCTACTTGCCCCGGGTCTTGCGCCCAGACCAGAATAGATTCCCCCATGGTAGAGAACAAAATCTTGCAGAGCCTGCTCTCCTCATTTCCTCTGATGGGTAAGCGTCGAATGATGTGAGAAAACCCCGACGATCTTCGAACTTGTGAGTGACCCACAGAAGGCAAGTCGCATAACCGAGGAGTTCCGGATGCATCGCAGGGTGAACCAGCAAGTAAAGATCCTAGAACAGAAGATGAAGATGCGGGCAACGGAAAAACAGGCCTTCTCCGGGTGAGCACTCTCTCCACAAGAGGGAGGACACCCATAGAGTACTCGTTATGGAACGCTATCCAAGCAGAAGAGGCCCCAAATGGCACTTGTGTTCTTCATTTCTGAAATATCAAAGAACAAAGCGTCGAACGAATATCAGCTTCATCTTCACATGATGCAGAAGCCACACTAATTAAACCAGAGAGCCCTCAGATTCTAGCGCGAGTCGTATAGACAACAAAAGAAAAGAAATCTGCAAAATGAAATAGAGAAGCAGGACCTCTCCGCCGACGGAAGAAGGAGATGGAGAAGCTTCGACCAAAGAAGGGGAATCGGGTGACCGAAGAACATAGCAGCAGGAGAGGAGTACCCGCCGTCCCTATGTACTCCGTCGGGAAGAAGAAGGTGAAGAAGAAAAAGGAGTACATAGGAACCTTGTCGCCGCCATGAGAAGAAGAAAGAGGGACTACGGTTTCTTGGTGTTCGTCAAATGACACTTTTGCCCTTAAATTAGAAATGTAAACATTAAAGGGGGCCGGATTTTCTTCTAGTAATTTTCAGAAGAGGAATGTGTAAGGAAAGAGCATAATACGTTAATATCCTATAAGGATACCTTTGTCTTTTACATATTCCCAACCCTTAATAATAGGTTCACATTCTAAGAAGCCAAAGTTGACCCCATTAGTGGGAGTTCAATTTTAAGCCCATCTAAAGAAGCTTAGTCATGCCCCAACATATAAACTATTTGTCCACTCTAACATGCCAAAGGCTAGCTTCTTTCATACCTTGATTTGAAAAGGGAAAGAGCAATCTTGCTTGATCATTCAATGAATCCATTCTTCCTTGAAGACTCTTGAGGATTTTGCTAATTGGTTAAAAAGTATAGCAAAAGAGATTGAATTGGTTTCTTAGATTGTTTCTCTCATTTTAAAATGATTTTAAGCATTTTTCAAATAATAATAATAATAAATTATGTCATATTAGATCTGCTAATTCTCTGGTGAGATAATCATTTCCTCAAAAAAAAAAAAAAACTGTTATTTCGGCATATGATTTAGTAGGCTGGCACAATAGCTCACCTTACTATGTCACCAGAAAGTTTTAGAACGTATCAAACATTAAGATTTGTAGTAGTCTAGCCTTTCCTTGGTATATGTTCATTTCCCAAAAGTCCCTACCTATAGTTTATGCTATTATTTCTTAGAAAATTATTGCTAAACTTTATGTAATCAACAATACCCTTACATGATAGATTTTAATGTTGAAATTTATATGACAACACACCACCAAGACAAAAGGTGAATTGGTATTTGATCAAATTTATTTATTTTTCTTTCTATTCTTGGAAATTAGGATTTAAATGATAAAATAGGTCACTTCACCAACTCCACTCTTCATGAATTGAGTATGTTCCCACACCCTTGCATACCACTAAATCTTTGGTAAAATACACATAAAAATATAGAATTTAGACAACTTTTCATCAAATTTAACACCCTCAACTAACTCAAAATCCCACCAAAGAATCTCTTTTAAAATTTATGCCTCTAAGGGGCTAAATTAGAGGAGAATTCACTCATCTCTTATAAATTCACAAATTTATGAGGTTAAATCATATGAGAATCTGCTCATCTTTTAGATTTACAACTCTAGACAACCAAATAGATTAATACTTCTAAGGGGACAACAAGACAAATAATAGTTAACTTCTTACAAATTCAAGCTCTAAATATATGTTATCACTCTTGGATTTGAAGAAGAATAAGAGAAGAATGCATCGAAACCAATTTGAGGATGAGCCAAGAACAAGCCTAGATTATGACAAGACTAGGAGGCTAAAGCTTATTGGTGAGTGCTATCACAACGAAGAAGTTGTCAAAACAAGTTCATTGACAAGACAAGGCCCCCTAATAGTTGAGGGGTGATGAGAAAAGGAGAACAATGAGGTGTGAGGTGGACACAATCATAACCTACCTCCAAGGAGCACTTGTGGCATCAAAGGACAAGAATGGAGAAAACAGAATGTCTTCAATTTGAGAAAGGTAGGGATCATGTACACACATGAGACTACAAATAAACCTTACAAAAAAAAATTGATATATATAGTCTCTCAACAATATTCAACTCCTAACTTTTTAGAGGCTTTAATCCTCTAATTTCTTATTTGAGAAAATTTAGCATGATGGACTCAAACATCAACTAATCTTCATTGTCTTTAGGAGTTCAAAGATGTAGCAATATTACTTAGAATCCTTAGAGGAATTTTGTCAACATTGATGGCTTTTTCTTGATTTTTTTCTCAACTTTTCACTCAAATTCTTCCTCTCACTCACACACCTCACATGGAGTGAAGGGTACAAGGTTTGATAGTCATCACCTGTGATGGTAGTTAGTTAATTTAGCCATCACTCTGTTTTGTTGAAGATCTAGATCTATTTGTGTCCTTGACTCATAGTTTTGTTTCAACTTCATTGTTCCATATGTCTCGTCCATTCCCAAACCCTCCCTCTATTGTGTACTACTTAGATCTGTCCCTTATATACACAACATCTATACAACTAAAGCAAAGGCAACAAATATTTCTCTAACTACAAGTGTACATGTGGGACAATTAAGAAAAGAATAAACTTAGAATGTGACATTATTTGTAGAGGGATAAGAGTAAACTTCTTAAATGAAGTTGTGAGAGTGACTTGGAGCAAAATACAAAGTGGTAATTCAAATTCAATTTGAAAATTTATTAACTTAAATAGTGATAACTATGCCTATTGGGCAAGTAATGAATAAATTTATTATTTGAAAATTTTTGTGGGCATGAGTGATGATAAGCCTAATCATGCCTTTGGGAATTTACAATGAAAATTATGCAATGTTTTCATCAAGTTTCAACTGCACAATCTAAGCATCAATGTTTAGAGAAACATTTATATTGATCAAACAAATTCTGAACTCCAAGCAAAATTTTCGACAACCATAGAAATTATTGGTATTTATTCAAACTAAATGTATGCAAAGATTGATTGAGGCACAAGATGTGGTAATAATTGACATAGTGTAAGTCTATAAAATCATTTTTACTTTCACATGAATAATTTCTAGAATCAAATGGAACTCATTGAAACAACACAACTGAATTTTGATGATTTTTTTTGTCCTTAGAGAGGTGAGAAGCAAAGTGTCTATTATTGATGCTAGTTAAAAATGACTTTGATAAGCTTTGTAGATCTATCATTAAAAATTCAGGAATCATTTTCTGGTGTAATTATTTGTACATTTTAGGGAATAAAAAATTTATGACAAAAAAAATACTCATAAAGTATAATGGTCATTTCATAACCTTTTAATTATTCTGATTATTATTATTGTCATGAGAATGTTGTTTAACTCTAACATCCTATTAAATCTTTGAGAAACTTGAGATCAGAAGTATAGTGTACTCTCTATCTTATGCTTTCAAGTCAAATCACAAGATTTACTCACCTACACAAGGTAACATGTCATGCACTATATGACATAATAAAAATAATATGAATTGCCATAATAAATATAAACTAGCTATTATATGTTTTGGTTGATGATTATTGAAATGGCTATGAATGTCCAATTTGTGAATATTATTAGCTTTGAAAAACAAAAATCATTGCATGAAAAGACAAATGTGGCGCTCCATGCAAAACCACACTTGCACAAAAATCATTTGCAAATCAAATAAGAAATGAGGGTATTAAGCTACAAAGACAGCTTTCAATTTCCAAAGTCAACATCTGTATGGCATTAAGAATTTAATACTGAATATGAATATCATTAGAAGTATGTGTACGTGCAACTAGCTTGACTTTAAGAATCTAAAATCAAAGAGCTAGCATTGAGTACATAAAAACAAACAACTTAAAATCATGAATCTAGTTGTGTAGATGCTAGATACATGTTGGTTTATTAAGCTTTCATTCTTGAGGGGAACAGTCGAAACTAAAACATTTTCCCTTAAAAGAGCAAAACTAGCAAAAAGCTCAACCATTTTAGGAAACTAAATCTCTATTTTATATCCTTAAATGATTTCATCACAACTTGAGGAGGTGACTCACCCAAAAACAATAATTTGTTTTCCACCTATGGTACCCATTTTAGCCCACTTGAGTCTTACATTTATGTTACTCTCTTTTTCAAATAGTACTTCTTATACCTCAAAAGAATCTGATTAATATTAGGTTTGAAATGGCATCATGTCAACAAGAGGGGGGGTGGATTGATATGTCTTTATTTCTTTCATTTCTACCTAATTTCTTTTCCTTCTTGAGTTATTAGACTACTAAGAAGGTATGACACACTACTTTTATATTGATTTAGTTGCATGACCTACTTCACTTTCCCAAGTATTAGCATTATGGGCGGCTTCCATGGGTTCTACTAATAACATGTCATACATGATGAACAATAGGCTTCATAAACCTTACACACTAGATTTAACAGCTCCAACTAATCATGAATTCATATAAAAATCATTTTGCATATTTATGGCCTCTAGGGGCCTAACAAGAGAGACCCACTCCACTCTTCTAGATTTTGAGGTCTACGGGACATAATAAGTGACACCCACTCTCTTCTTCTAGATTCCAATCAAAAGGGCCAAATAGAAATTAACAAATTGAGTGGAAATTTCTCTTATATTGAGAGCTCACTAGGTCATGCCTAATTTATAGGTTATTGGGCCAAGCAATTGCCTAAGGGTTTAAAAAATGTCACATCTTGTGCTGATATTTTGAACTCTAGAAATACAAGGTAATCTTATAAAATTAATAAAAAATGGATATCTTATACTTCCAAAAAGCATTCTAGTTGTTATTCATATTCTAGGTAAGTGATAAGTCTTCATTATCATGAGTTAATAATTAGTAAATAATATAGTTTTAGTCTTAACTCATGATAAATATACTTATATTTATGTTAAAGTGTGAAAAGTGGTTTTCAGTTGATTAATGTGAATTTTTGGGTAATTATGTGATTTTATACGATTTTATATGATTTTTATTGTCTTACTTTTGAGATAAATGAAGGA